GCAGCCCATGCAGCGGAGGCCTCGGCCCTGCCCAGAGAGCGTAAGTCCTGTCTGGGCCCTTAGAATGCACACGGAGAAGAATATCTTCATCTGACAGAGGCTTGCCTTCGTACTGAAGAGGTTTAACCTTGTGATTAAAAACAGGGCCTAGGGGCTGGGAATTTAGCTCAGCGGCATAAGCGCCTGCCTTGCAAGCAGGCAGTCGTGAGTTCGATCCCTGGTACCGATAAAAACGAAAAAGACAAAAAAAAAAAATAAAAAAATAAAAAAGTAAATAAAAACAGGGCCTGGTTATACACCAAGGGGCTGCCTACCAAAACCAACAGTGTGACCCAACGCAGGGATTTGGGATCATGTGATTGGTTGACCTGGGGACTGAAATCAATCATGTGGGCAATCAATCAACCCATCATGTCAATGTAACAGAGTTCCAGTAGAAAAATCTCTGGCAACTGATGCTGGTGAACATCTGAGCGGGTGGTGTCCCATACGTACCGCCCCACACTGACACCCAACAGTAAAATATCCTGATCCTCACTCCTTCCCTGCTCCTCACCCCCATGGTGGCCTCCTAAACCCAGAATCCCTTCTTCAAGGACCTGTTTCCAGCCCTTGTAGAACTTTTAGTACCAAGCACTCTATCAGTGGAAATCCAGACAGGAAAGCAGAGATTATACCAGCGATTTTACAAGGATTAGTTAGTATGAGGATGGTTAGAAGGAGAAAAGAAAACTGGGAGAGTCAAGAGAGAAAGATAAAAGATGGTGTCCCAGGGCAGTACCCTCAGGAAGCAGCTGCCACGGGGTGAAGGGCATCTCAGGAGTAGCTTTGGTTATTTACTTCCTGTGCCTGAGAGATGCCCAGGAACACAGATGTGCCCCACTTCATGGGCAGTGGGCGATCAAGAACAGACCAGAGGGGCCCACGGCTTGGCTCAGTGAGTAAGTGCCTGCCCGGCAAGTGTGAGACCGTGAGTTTGATCCCCGGTTCTGAAAAGAGAAAAAATAAAAGAACAGAGCAGAGCAGAGACTCAGAAGATTGGTGGCAAGGTCGGGAGTGGACGTGAGGGGACGCTGCTCAGGACACAGCGGTGTGAAGGTATTTGTGTCCTGTGTGAACCCCACCCAGGGCATTCACTAAAGCAGTGGCTCTCATAACCAAGCAGACAAAGTGATACATGCCACATGTGACAGTCTTTTTTCCATCTGCATTGTTTGCTCAATGGACTTGTTTCCAAATGGCCCTGGTGGCAAGTGTGGAGGCTCCATACGCACTGAAGGACATAACCTCTCCCCACCAGGCTGATAGCTACGATCACTGCTGAGCGTCCAGGGACCCAGCAGGAGACAACAACACTAAAAGGCTGTCCCATCCATCCCCGAGAGAGGATGAGGGAGGTTGGAGACCTGTTAAAATCACACAGTGTGACTGTGCAGCTATGTAAGGAGCAAAAAGAAGCTGACAGACTTCAAAATATTAAATAAAAGTAATGCGGGATGTGGTGGCATAGGCTTGTAATTCCAGAAGTTGGGAGGCTGGGGCAGGATTGCTGTGAGTTTGAGGACAACCTGGGCTACATAGTGAGTTCAATCCAGCTTGAACTACAAAGTAAGACCCTCAGAAAAACAAAACAAACCCTAAAATCAAATACAACTAAAAGTTCCTGGAATATGTTTATCAATAGCCCGAGTGATTAATGACCAAGTGAAAAGAATGAAGCAATATCAAGAAAGTGTAACTGTCTTAGCTACTTTCTCATTGCTGGGCCAAAATATCTGACGCCCACAAGTTAGAGGAAAGGTTTATTTTAGCTCACAGTTTGTAGAGGTTTTAGTCCATTGTCAGCTGGCTCCAAGGCAGGCCGGCACGGTCAGTGGGCCTGGCGGAGGAGAAACAGTCCATGGTGCAGCAAGCAGGAGGCAGTGAACTCCTTTCCCTTTTTATTTCATCCAGGCTGCAAGCCTATTGGTTGGTGCCACCTAAACCCAAAGTGGGCGTTCCGTTGTTAATAAATCCATCGTCAGATCCAGAATTTCTCTAAATCAATCAGTGGACTAGTCCTGTATCACAACCCATAACCCAGTGTCACACACCCATCATCCAGTCCCTCCCAAAAACTCTACCTATTAGTGCATGAGTCTTTTGGGGGGACATCTAGAGACAAGCCACATCAGGGATATAAAGATGTGAGGTTAAGATATGACGGTTAAAGAAGTGTGGACAGGGGCGTGAAAAAGTCCAAGTGCTTTATAGGTTTCTTTTATGGCCTTCCTTCCTCCTTTCCATCATTCCTTTATTCTGTCACAGTTATAAATGAATTTATATATCTCATGTGATACAGGAGATATGAGTAATTAGTAAATATAATTGAAATAGAAGTTTCATGAAATAATACAGTATTCTCTAATATTTTCTATTTTCTTTTGCCCTTAATGCTGGGAATAATCTACTAAATTTACTTTATAAGCCACCCTTGGGAAATAGCATGTAGTTTGAAAAACACTAATTGAATAAAAATACTAATGAGAATTTCAGATGCAAATTGTGAGAGACTGGCACTGGGGTAAGGTTCAAAAGAGAGACTGTCACACGCTATATCACAGATGAGAACATCATGCCAGAAGAAATAAGCCAGCCATGGAATAAATGTGTGATTCCACTTAGAGGAGGTACCTAGAGCACTCAAACTCAAGGAGACAAGCCGTGGGATGGCTGTTGCCAGGGGCTGGAAGAAAGGCAGTGGGAAGCCATCGTTTACATGTACAGAGCTTCTGTTTTCCAAGGTGATGGCATTTTGGAGATGGCCGCTGCTGCTGGTTGCACAGCCCTGTCAACACGCTTAACATCCCTGAGCTGTACACACAAGAAGTGCCAGAGGGAGCCCGGTGTGGTGGTGCACGTCGCTCCAGAGTCTGAGGTAGGAGGATCACTGCAAGCTCATCCTGCTCTACATAGTGAATCCAGGATCAGCTAAACTACATAGTGAGATGCTGTCTCCAAAGAAAACTCTGTGTTACGTGTGTGGTGTATTTTATCTCAGTGAAAAAGGCAAAGTAACTAAAGCAAAGCCATTATCTGAGGATTTTTTCAGAATGATGAAAGATACCAACTAGCAAATTCAGAAAGCCCAAAGAAGTCAAGGCAGAATAAATAAAAAGATACATCCTGGTGGAACTGCAGAACACAAAATACAGAGACGGTTCAGATATCCATTGAAGGGACGAAGATGAGACTGTTGTTGAGACTCCAGGGACAGTGCCTTTAAGAACAAGGGCAAAATAAAGCCAATCTGCAGACAACAAAAACTGGGGTAGTTCATACCAGCAAATTGTCACAAAAGTAAGATGCACAGAATGTGTCTCAGACACAAGGAGAGCAGTTAGTAAACCGAGACTTAAGAAGAAATGAAAGCAAGCACATTGGTAACTGCGCTGACCATGTAAAACAGTTTAGTAATGTTGTATCAGGTTAAAATGGAAGAGACTAAACATGTAAGGCACTACAATTAAGTGATTAAGTAATATAATTGTGAGGATAGATCATTAGAGTTAAGATACTTCAACATTCTTACAGTTTAAGGGAGTAGGGTAAAGATATTTTAGAAATTGGATCTTTCTCTTTTCTCTTTACAATTTTTTGGGGGGGAGTACTGGGGATCAAACTCATGACACTGCGTTCACCAGGCAGGTGCTTACACCACTTGGCTAAATCCCTGCCCCTACAATTTGCGTGTGTGTGTGTGCACACAGGGTCACATATAGTTCAGGCTGGCCTCAAACTCACTTCATTCCTCCTGTGTCTCTTGGGTGCTGGGATTATAGATGTATGTCACCATGCTCAGCTCAAATGGGACTTTCATAAGACAAGTACTTGTAAAAATTTTTAGAGTAACCATTAAAATGGTAGATACAGAATACGTCAAGAAAAGGAAAACAGGAGGGATGAACTCTAAAGAAGAAGGTTGAGAAAAAGAAAAACATGCAAGAAATAACAATATATATAGGATGATGGAAAAAATCCAGATATATCAGTAAATACAGTAAATATAAATGGACTAAATGCTTTAGTTAAAAGACACAGATTATCCTATTAAAAACTTTAATCATGAAAAATTTCACAAATACGGATAAGTGGAAAGCACAGTATGAAAAGCATCCATATTCCAGCCTTGTAGAGTCAACCATTGTGAACAATTTACCATATTTATTTTGCTTATATCTATGCACAGGTATGTATTAAGAACACCTATTGTGTGTAGTAAATGCTATACAACAAAATACTATTTCAACAGTAATGATGTAGAGTATCTTATTTTTGAAGTTAAACAGATCTCGGTCCCTAGCAATTTTTAAACCTGCTATTTACTGCTGTGATTATTCAGAGGATGTCTTTTCACTCTATATTAGCGAGAGAGTGGGAATAAGGTCAGCTTTTTAGAACATTGTATTCTGAAGCATTTGTTGCATAAATAAATGGTGTCTATTAGTAAAGGATTCAGCACAGTGCTTGCTGCATAGTAAACATTTCGTGTGGAGCAGCTTTTATTTATGACAGTTGTTTGTTGTTATTGAAAGCATTCAGCGGAGTGGCAAAAAATAAGCAGATAATAATTGGTAGTTTATTACATTTATAATTATTATTTATGATCTGTCACAGTGTCTAGCACGTATCATTCACCCATAAACATTCTGTTTATAATAACTACTTGCATTATTATTCAAAGTCTAACAGTGCCTGGCACTAAATGAGCAAGAGAAAAGTGGAGGCTCATACTTGTTAATTATTATTATCGAGTCAAGCACTTAACACAACGCCAGCCCGGCGGGCCCTTAAGAAAGGTTCTTCGTGGTTTCCCAGCACCCAGGCTCCGCCCCCAGGCCGCGCGAAGCCGCGCCCCTCGGCTCTCAGCCCCGCCCCGCGACCTGGATGCGCCTGCGCACTTCCCGGGAGGGGCTCGGCGCGCAGCCTCCCTCCTTGCCCTGGAGCTGGCGTAGGGCGCCGCTTCCCGCCGCCCGGACCGGCCAGCTGCTGCGTGCGTGCGTGCGTCGCTGCGTGCGTGCGTGCGTGCGTGAGCTCGCCGGGCACCGCGGCCTCGCCCTCCGCCCCTCCGCCTGCACCGCGTAGGCCTCCCCCCCACCGCGCGCCCCGCCGACGACCCCCGCCCGCACCGCCGGCCCGCCTCGCGGTAGAATTTAAAGGGGCGCGGCATTTCCGCTCTGCTCAGGTGACCTCTCGGGGTTCCCCCCGCCAAAGGTGCCCCGCCACCGAGGAACATGGCGAAGGTGGAGCAGGTCCTGAACCTCGAACCGCAGCACGAGCTCAAGTTCCGAGGTAAGCCCAGGAGGCCTGCCGGCCTCGGCCAGCGCGCCGGGCCCGGCCGTCCGCCTGCCGCAGCCCCCACCGCGCCGGAGCGACGGAGCCGGGTAGGAGGTGACGCCGCGCTCGGCCTTGTCCGACGGCGCGGCCGCGGGGGCACAGGGGCTCGCCGCGCCTCGCCGCCGCCAGTACCTAGAAGGCCATGCGGGCCATGTGCGGAGCCCAGGCCTGCGCCTCCTCCCCACCCTTCCAGGGCACCTCGCCTTCGAGGCACTTGTCACCTTGGCCACAGTAACTTTGCGCGAGTTTGCGGTTTCCCATCCCGGACTAACCACCGGCCACCCCTGGCCCTTCAAGGCCCTCTCTTGCTCCTCACAAGGTTTTGGCAGATGTCACTCGCCCGGGCCATCGTGGGACACACTACTGACATTTGCCTATCCCATCACTGTTTCGCGGTCACCGTGGCACTACTTCCTGCACAAAGTCACTGAATCTCGACACTAGAAGAGAAACGCACTGAGGACAGGGTCCAGTCCATTGGCTATTATCTGCCCAGTGCATGTTAGGCGCACAGTCTGTTTAATGAAATCGTGAACGAAACCCCCTAAGTTGTGCTGGACTAGCTTAACTTCCGCCACTGTCTTCTTCGTGCTGTTCTGGCATGTCTGAGCAGTTGAGGAGGCTGTCAGGGTCCTGGGATACTTTAGATCCTCCGAGTTACCTGGAGCCAGAGGCCAGAGAAAGCCACAGCAAGTGTGTTTATGAAGCATTTCTAGGGCTCTGATTTTGCCCCCGGTATTACCATCTTTGTCATTTGTATAATATTCTCACGGGCATATATATGTATAAATATAACATACGTATATGTATGTGTGGATATATTCAATACATACATATACATATATTGTTGTATGTGTTTTCCTTTTCCATCAAAATGTGAGGGCCATCTAACAGCAGGGCCTGTCCAGCGGACCCCTTGCTTTTTGCGTGCTTTGAGTAATGGAAGTGGACCCTGAAGAGATGTAGAGCTCACTGTCTAATGACGGAAACAAACCAGTGAACAGGCTCACTGCAGGTGGTGGGGAGTGCCAAGACGGACTGACTTGATGACATACACGTTGGTTTATGGGGTTAGGGCACCACTATTACTGCCTGCCCGTGGCTCATGATGGGTGCAGACTTGATTTCCGTGGAATGTCTGCTGGCCAGAGGAACCTCAGTTTATTTGTACTAATGAGAATTGATGTAAGGTGACTCGCCTAAAGTTACCCAGTTGGCAAATGATAACATTTGAACCCAGACTACTTACCCATTATGTTGTCAAACTCCTGGAAAATCTTCCGGAGAGTGATGGCTGTCACTTTGCTTCCCAGGTTTCAGGGTTAAATGATTCTGAGTGTCTTAAGAAAACCAATGGCTTTCCAGTTCAAAACAAAAGAGGACCAAGACCCCACACAAATTTAGTTTCTTGATAATAGAGGGTGCCTGTTTAGGATGGTTTAAGAGTTTTTGAAAGTAGTACGCATCGTTCAGTTGAAGCTGTTTTGAATTTTGTTCTTTTTCCCGTTTGCATTATGTAGTCTGATCCTGCCTCTCATGCTTTGAGCTGTGGCTCCCAGTGAGCCACAGTCATGAGGACGGGCAATTGACAGTCAGCAATTACTGTGGTGGTCTTGTTTTTCTTTTGGATGTTGTGTTTTTGTGTCCCCTCTTGTCTACAAAATGTCCACCTGTGTGTGTACCCGAGGTGTTGTACAGTGGGCTTTGTGTTAAATGATGTCTTGTGATGGTAACCTAATGTAAGTGTTCTGAGCATGCTTAAGGTAGATGACGCTACAATGTTTGGTAGGTTAGATCTATTAAATGCATTTTCCACTTAAAATGTCTGCAATTTGCCACAGGCTTATCTGGATATAACCCTGGTGTAAGTCAAGGAATATCTGTACTTGAGCTTGTGTAATTCCAGGGGCTACTTCTAGAGAATTGAGGCTGGGAAAGAAATCCAAGTAGGTAAAGTGAATGTAGTGAGCATGGTTTTCACTGAAGTCGTCTTCAGGTTTTCTTATCCAGGAAGACTCGCTTGGCTTCTCCCATGAATTGTCACATGGATTCATTTAGTGCAAAACATTTACCGAGTATCAGATACCAGGAGAAGCCAAGTCACATTGGTCATACCCCCACATTTTCCCTTAACCTGCTTGCTCTGTAGTACTTTTATGTGTAGGGAAGATTCAGACAGGAAAACTGGTCAGGACATTGCAGTGGTGTAAGGCAATCCAAGGTGCTCGGGAACATTGTGGAGGTCAACTTCGGAAAGAGGTGTCATCTGAGCTGAGTCACATAGGTCAGCTGGAAACAGGCTAAAATGAGAACGGGTGGGGGTCATGCCAGGCCGAAGAAGTTGACAAAGCTGGGAACCTTCTTGGGAGTGGTTCTGAGTACCAGCAGCACCCAGAGCGTTTCCTGAGAGTGCAGGACGGAGTGGGAGGCAGAGTAGGCCTCCTTAGCAGACAGAGGTCAGATCTCCTAGGTCCTTTGTGTCTGGGACTGCCAGTGTCTAAGTTAAAACTGTGTTACTTCTCCTCAAACAGTCCTTTCCTGTATTGACTTCCTGGGACACCAAGCTTCAGTAGATGCTCTCCTGTAATGTGTTGATATGAAGGAGACACTAACTTGAGAAAATTCAAGTTTTTGTTCCAGTTGTTTCATTTAAAGATGTTTGGCCTTGGGCTGCCACTTCATCCCCCAGCACGTGAGTCAGACTTTAGTTAATGGGGTGACACTCTTGTCTACTTTGCCTTCTGTGGGAAGTTTTGTTGTTTAGAAGGGAGCTATCAGGGCTGTTCCGCAGCTTCGTAAACACATAGGTCTAAATAGAGATTGAAGGTTGTATTTAGATAGCTGGTTTATCACTTTAGTTTCTTTCCCCAAAAGGTATGACAGTGTGATCTTGTAGCCTTGGCTTGGCCAGAGCAGTGGTAGTCCAGGTTACTTGCTAGAGGGATGGTCCAGAAGAAGCTGTGTCAAACTACTGAACATTATTTACCGAGGAGGCAGCCTTTCCTGTGGAACCCAGGCTGCCCTTGACTTTGGAATCCTCTGCCTTGGGGTCCTGATCGCAGGCATATGCCACCATGCCTGGCGCATGCTCCTGGCTGTGGGAGAGACGTGTGAAGGCACGCGCAAGCCACCTTTACCTTCAGTTCTCTTCTAGAGGTATTTTGTTTGTTGGTTTGTTTTAAGCTGAATGTTGAGGCCACACAGCTAGAATAAAGATTCAATATCTTGGCTGCTATGTAGAAAAAAATCACTTCATGATGAGAACTGGCACATTTAATTAGTTTATTCCAGGTCATTTAGGTTAACACCCTGGTTCTGGTGATTTATCTAGAGAAATAAAAACTTATGAACTTGCTTTGCTTAAGAGAGAAATGATTACCTATCTTTTAGAGGAGGACAAAGTTACCAGCCTGAGATGACGGCATGAGGTTGTTTATGGTTATATTCTTCGTTATTTTGGAAAATTTTCGAGGTATATTAAATTTACAGGATGCATGACTTTGTTAGGTTTTGTAGAAAGTACAGTGTTCTATTTAAGTATCAGAGGAGGTATGTGACTTCCTGAAAGAAGCATGGCACAGTGCGCTTTGTCTAAATTTAAGGTCGATCTTCATGAGATCTTTTTAAGAAGTTGGCAAGACCAAGGGACCATTTGGAGTAAGAAAATGGATTAGAAACCGGTGTCGGAGGTGTTGGGGTGTCGGGGTGTTGGGGGTGTCGGGGGTGTCGCGGGTGTCGCGGGTGTGGTGTTTGAAACCAGGATCTTTGCCCTGAGTTACATCTCCAGCTCCCTTTCCCTCCTGTTTTTAAATTTTGAGACAGTCTCACCAAGTTGCCCAGACTGAGACCCTATCTCAAAATAAAAGTAATAAAAAGAACTGGGTGTGCAGCTCAGAGCAAAGTCTCTGGGTTCAATTCCCAGGCCTGGAAAAGAAAGAAAGAAAAAACATTAGCTAGGCCGAGGGGGCACGTGTCTGTAGTCCCAGCTGCGTGGATGGCAGAGACTGAAGGGTAGCAAGTTGGAGCTGAGATTGGGCAGTAGCAAAAGCTTTTCTTGGGTCAGTGCCCAGAATTGCCTAACAAAACAAAACAAAAACAAAAAACAAACAAAGAAAGAAAAGTGTCTTCCTTTTGCCCTTTATTGTTAGGGATGGCACCATTGAATTGTGATTCTTGATTACCACTTTGGGGAAAAATAGGAGCTTGGATGCTGGAAGTGGCAAGTGTAGAGGCTCCGTCTTTATGTAATGGAAGTGGGCATGGAAGCACTGGTTTGTCCTCTCAAGGCGATGTGTATTTTAAGACTGTGTAGGAAGTTAAAAAAAATCTAAAACCCTGTGGATATAGTCCATTTGATGTAGTCATTATCTTTTAGATGCTAAGTACAACATTAATTCTTTAGCTTTAGGATAGTGCTGATTTCTGTAACATTTCATGATTACATAGAGCAGACTGTGTTTTACTGCACAACAAAATGTCACCAGTGTGCTTAAGATTCTTTATGGTAGTAGTTTAAATCCATCCTGAATATATTATCTTCATTTATTTAATTATTAACCAGCTGGCTTATCAAAAGCAAGTGGCACTAAATTTACTAAGCTTCAGTCAAATTTAAATCTTCATAGACAGTGTGAGTTGCTTCTGAAGTCTTGTTCCTAGAAGTAAAATGGAACTTCTTCACAGTTAACTCCTGGGGTGGGGGGTTCTCCGTCCTGTGTCTTATTTGGAAAGTGGTGATGTTTCCTTGATATGAGTGGTTAAAACATGTATCACTGTTATCTTCATAATTACTTAGTGGCTTTTCATCTGAGTGTCGATTTATTAAAATAATTAGTCTGAGTTGACGCTTATTAAAGAACTGGACTCAAACATTAATACTATTTTTTATTTATGAGAATTATATATATTGAGCATTTTTCTTTCAGATGCTTAAGATAAAATACCGAGTACTTTGA